GGGGGGGGGGGGGTGGTAAGAGGGCGTGCGCCCCCTGCCCCCCCCCTCCCGGTTCGCCCGAAGAAAAGGAGGAAGAAAGGAACGACGAACGGTTAGATTTGGTAATTATTTATGACGAAATTGACTCGAATTGCATTTTAAATGTTTTGAATTGTGCAAATTTTCTATGAGGAGCCTCTCGCCCCCCCCCCCCCCCCCCCCTACGCCCCCCTTTCGAAGTTGTTGGATCCGAGTATAACATGGATGTACTCATGTACTCCATTCGCGGTAATGCACCACTAGATTGGCTGTAAAAATTAAGGACCACGATACCTCCTCCCCCCCCCCATCAAAATTTTGCATAGAGCAAGCCGGACGCATTAAAAATTTTGGAATGGGACTCATTAATTAAAAAATTGCGTTTTTTGTCCGTTCTTACTCACATGAAAACTGCGAGGTCTTCTATACTTAAATGGAGTATTAAAGTAGCATTACGTAGCAAGTACGTGGTATCAATGGACTAATTTCTCGATGACTTAACAGGTTTTCGATGAGACGGGGGAAAATTCTGCCACACCAAACGCTACTTTCAATCTCTTTCTTTCGGTCAGATCAACAAGAAGGAGCTCTACTTCCCATTGCAACACAAAATGTCGGTTATTATTTCTTCCTGCGGGCAGCTTGTTGTAAAAGTTTGAAATTTGACAGAAATGTTCTAAAATCTAGAAATTATCAAATGATCGATCGACAATCAAATCGCTCTCTAAAGTGCTGAAAATCTACCTTGACCAATTTTTAGCGAAAATGTGGTTCAATAATGGAGATGTTGCATGTGTGAAGAATTTGCGATTTGACTGTTGATTCTTATGTAAAAGTTCGCGAGAAACACGATGGTGCATCCGGTTTTCTCTGAAATCATCTCCCAAGCTCAAAAAAAGCTCTCAAGTGGAGGCCAAAATGGAGGGGATATCCCACGCTATCCTGAAAGTCCACCTCTACATCAAGACAAACTCTCCATGCAAAGATAGGGAGCAAATACATTAGCAGTGAAGCCGTGTTTTCAGTTTTAGAGTCCCCAAATAAAGTGGCAGCCCTGTCAATGTATTTGCTCCCTATTTTTGCATGGAGAGTTTGTCTTGATGTGTAGAGGTGGACTCTCAGGATAGCGTGGGATATCCCCTCCATTTTGGCCTCACTTCGAGAGCTTTTTTTGAGCTTGGGAGATGATTTCAGAGAAAACCAGGGGTACCATCGTGTTTCTTGCGAACTTTTACATAAGGATCAACAGACAACTCGCAAATTCCTCACACATGCAACATCTCCATTCTCACTGCTTCAAATACACAAATTTCTGTAAGCTCTATGAAGTGTTGCCTAGTTTGAACGAAGCTAAATGGTGAATTAATCTGAGGTCAAATGGGAATTCGATCATATTTTAGAAGCCGTGTTGCCCACTCACTCAGTGATGAAAACCGTGCGAAAAAGCATCCTCGCGAAACTGAAAGTGAGAAAAAGCGCATCGACGTTGGGCTGCTAGATACTCTTTCTTGTTGACATCCATCCTGACATCAACCGTGTTCCTCCTGACAAATCGCCGAGATCCTCCCATTCCAACCTTTATGAGACAGATATTTTATTCGATGAGCCCCTCTCCCCGTCCCTCGGTCGGTCACTTTCTAATGTTCTTCACTCCGGCTCGGCGGCGGCGGCGGCGGCGGACGTCGCGACGCGTCGTGTGGCGTCGCGCCGCCAGATCGCGCTGCATCACACCGATGCACCGAGATCTCGCGCCGGGACTCCCGTCTCATTCGGCAGCCATGCATCGTCCGCGAGAGCACGTCGGGCTCCTGAAATTAATATGGTTTGCACGTAGCGCACAGCCCCGCCCCCCTTCCCCATCCCCACCCCCTCCCCCTACAGCCCCGGTATCAGCACTTCTTCCCCACGTCTTGTTTTTCACTTCTCTAACAGATTTCTAGCGCCTCCACTCTCGGCAGCTGTTGCCTCGGTGAAACCTAACCACGCTCGTTAGGGCCGTTTAGACTTCGTTCTTCCTTCTCTTTTACGGGAGGAGACGAAGACGACGGAAAGATTAAAAGTGTGCAGCGCAGGAAAGTGCATTCGTGTATTGTAATAAGGTAGTTGCGAGCGACTATGTAATGAGGAACTCAACCTTATGAGAGTTGTTTTAATTAACTTCATCAACAGGTGCGCGGGAAAAAATAGTCGGAACCGAGTTTTATTAAATGCTAACGAAAGTTTCATGGCAGCTGGAGGAGAACCCTTCTTAATTATTGCACCTACTATAGTTTGGATCCCGCTGAAGTTTTCAGAGGACGCGAGCTTCCTTCTTTCTATTTTTCGTTTGAGGGGCTTGGAGAACAAGGCGCATAAGTGCAGTTTTTGCTGTTTCACAAAGTACGAGTTTGAGCTCTCGAAATTATTTGAGTCCTCATGGTGGAAAAAAAGTTCAAGCTGACTTTTTGATGCTTAAAAATTGGCATTCGGGAGCACATTTTTCACAGAACATACATTAAGACTAGTTTTACTTGCAATCATTCATATCTTAATTTTTTTCAAATACTGCACTTATGCGCCTTGCCCTCAAAGCCCCTCATTTATCTATTTCTTTATATTGTTTTAATTGCTCTCATTCTGGGGAGTTTCAAGGAGACCTGATCAAAAAGTTGGCGATTTTCTTCGATGCAAAGTTTGCATCGGGTGAAGGGCACACGTCCTTTCAAATTAAGCGGCTTTCCTTCGAAATCAATTTTTTTTACTACAATTCAAGCCCAGTCAGTCCTTGAAACCATAAATTCAACAACCAAGTCATCTTAGCAGGTTGAGTGGTGCGATGGTCTCATGATGAAAGCGTTTGATTTTCAATGAGAGAAAACATCAGGTGATTCGTGCATCTTAAAGTCTGCATAATTCTTTCTCAATTTTGTTTGTTTAATCAAAAGCCATCACTTTTCAATAAATGACAGTCTTAAATGTACCAGTGGCGTGGCGTGCTTTCCGATATATGGATTGTTATGCCATTTAAACCTTTGGAAAATGATCGATAAACAAGGGTGTTCACAGGGAACACCTTAACAATCGATTCTTTACCATAGGTTTAAATGGCAGAGCAATTGATACATCGCAATTCACGCCACGCCACTGAAATGTACTCCCAAATATGAGAGCATTGAATGGATAAACCGACGGCAACCTTGAATAGACATTTACGTTCTGTTAGAGCGCTAAAGCCTGGCCTATATAGATAAATTTCCATGTTTAGTGGCCGATGGCACGGGTAGCGAAGCCATCAAGATTTTGGGACTCATGAGATAGCAGACCGTATTAGTAGTCATCCCTTCAACAGCTCCTTTCCTCAGGAGCTCTATACGGTTTATAATGCTCCTAAGGGAGGTTTAATGGGACTCTTAGCGTTGCATCATAAAAAGGACAATTTTATAGAGAGTCTCGAGTTAAATTCAAAAGAATTACTCCGAAAATAGTGTTCTGCTAGAGACAAACATGATTTACCGCTGAAAGAGATGAAAAATACGGAAAGAAAATAATATTTGTAATATTTACAGATTTTAAGGTCGGTACATAACTACCTGTAATTTTTCAAAATCTACAAAATTTTTTGTTTTATAAATCCAATTTCAGGTAGAGGCGAATCGTTTTAATCCATTGCGACGGTCTAATTCCCAAGTTTTTGTGTTGAATTTTACTCGCGACTCGTTGGAATTTTCCTTAATACGATGTTATGTAGTTACGTAAAGAATTTCCTTGAACCTCCCTCAATCAAAATAATAATCATATGGGACTCCTATGAGAGGATCCATCATCAGAAGGATTATTGAAGGTCTCTAGGCGCGGCGAACGAATGGGACGGTATCCTGGTACGGACCGTATAAGCAGTTCTTGAATTTAGTGTCCAATTTTATCGGTTAGTGTCCCTTAAAAAATATAGATGTAATGCATTTTTTGAAAAAAATTACACCGAATTGGTAAAAATGAGTGTTCCGGTGAGACTATCACCATGATCTGTGTTACCTTCATTACAGAAAGTATTTAATCGATCTGCTTCATTCTCATCGTGACTTTGCAGGGGACCCTGATCTCAACCCTAAATGGCTTTAGCTGTAACCGAACAATAGACATCGTTAAATGAATCATATCCGATGTGAAACATGGCTTGCACTAAATTGTCGCTTAACCGGTCCATTTAATTTGTTCCTTCGCTTTCGACGACAAAAGGGAGAATACCTCCTTCGTTACCCCTTTGAGCAACCCACCCGTTCCCGCCATTCGCTGCCGTGGGAAAACAGTAAAACTATCGATTCGTCATGAGTCGAGCACACGACTTCGATTGCAAAACTGAACTTTTGGGGGATAACGACGTACAAACATTCGGACGTCACCAAATCTTTCACGATAAAATCTGAAATACGCAAAAAACTCGTGGTTTTTTTCCTCGAGGATTTTAGAAAATTTTATTCGCGTTTTAATAAAGAGTCTCTATAAAAATTCATGGAAAAACGTTGATGGATTTAATGGGGAATAAATGTATAATCTACGAAAATATGACGACGTTGGAAAGTTCAAAAGGCGTTTCTCCGTTAGCTCCGTAGTAAAGCTTCAACATCGATGTGGAATCGAATGCGTCTCCGAATTTCCACATCGGAACACGGGAATGCTATTACCTTCTGCGTTGTCGATTAGCGAGTAATTACTCGGACTTCGCCCAGCAATTCTCATGAGGAAACTGGCTTATTCCTTGGCGAATTGGCAACGTGGATCTCTTTGAACAAATCTACACTGGATAATCA